TCTCTCTCTCTCTCTCTCTCTCTCTCTCTCTCTCTCTCTCTCTCTCTCTCTCTCTCTCTCTCCATCTCCCCCTCTTTCTCCCTCTCCCTCTCTCCCTCTTTCACTATGTCTGTGTGTGCTTTTGTATATGTTTCTATCTGTGTGTATGTGTGTGTCTCATCCTCTATGTGCCTACTTATTTATTTTCAAGATTTAGAAACTGCCTGAATCTAGAAATTTTATATCAGGTGAGCATAATAAAATAACAGTTTTATTCAAAGACATGCACTTCATCAGATTTGTAGAGTGGCTAGACCAATTTTTCTCAACCTCAGTAACCAAGATATGTGGACCCCAACTACCAGATTTACCCAGCCAGCATGCTGGGCTGGGGAATTCTGGGAGTTAAAGTCCACACATCTTAAAGTTGCTGAGATTGAGAAGCACTGGACTAAACTGATGTAGGATGTAAAATGGGTGGAGATAGGAAGGAGAAGGGAGGGAAAGACAGATTGATTATGCAGCTATGGACTACATGGGAGACAGATTAGAAGCTCTTTATCAACATGTTATGTTTAACAAACATAACATGTTAAAAGCCATTGTTTGCCTTCCACAATTACCCAAAACCTTTTGATGGATGTGGGTACAAAAATGTCTTGCTTGAGGGTTCTGATTTTTCAAAGCAGCCTGAAAACACAATACAAAGAAGAAAAAGAATGTTATTCAATTTTTTTCTGGCTGCCCAAATGTCTTCCAGAAAAACAGGTTTTAACCTCCCATAAAGTGTGTAGGGGTGGGGGGTTTATTCTTGCTTCAAGGTAAAAGCTATTCTAAAAGAAAAAAGCAACAATAAATACATTCTCATTGTATCTGCCTCTGAAGCTCATATATGTTCTTAATCTGAGTATATACCCATTGATTATCAATGCAACCTGTCATAAATTTTGAAAGACTTTATATTCCAAATACCTAACACTCATTGCCGTTCTGATTTCATCATTATTTATATGTAATATTGCTCAAAATTATTAGTTGCATGTCACTGTAAATAACTGAACTCAGCTGATTCTTGATTTCTAATAATAGTAACTTGCATTCACTTTCTTCATGGCTTACAATACATTTCCCTTTTGTCCTCTTGAAGTTCTGCTTTATGAATGAAAATGGGTTTGTGATGATGATCAAGTTGCCAAGTGTGTGGTCAATGTCCCCTCCTATAACCAACATTGGCTAGTCTCTAGTGAAACAGAGCATCTGGAAATATGAATAGTCTTCATTAAGAACTCAGCAAGGATCTGAAGAAGCTGAAGAACTGAAGAAGCTTCTTGGATGAGAAGTGAAACATGTTCAAGGAAAAACAAAGGAAGTCCAGTTGCCTTTTGAAAAAGCACCTTTGGGTCCTCAAGAGAGGATCAACCCATCATCCAGAGGTCTGGAATTCTAAAGAGAAGTTTGAGATACATTTCCAAATGTGGGAATTCAAACCTCAGAATAACCTTCCACATATTGTTTTCCTTGAGTCTTGCCTTGAAATAACTGATATTTCTCCTGGGGAACAAAGTGCCCTAAAAATTCCACCTTCCTTTCCTTGATGTATCCACCGTTTCTCTAACATTGCCCATGATTTGGTGAACAATCTGATTTCTTACACATTCATCCCATTATACCGTAAATATCTTTCCTAAAAGCCATGTTTACATATCCTGGTTGTACAATCTACCTGTATGGTTTGACAGAAAATAAAACCCTACAATCTTGTTCAGGATCATAAAATCAAATAGATAAATAAAATGTATTTAAAGGCTATGTGGACAGCTTCTAAAAATTCCCTTGTTTGAAAAGGGTTCTTCTTTTTGGATATCCACTTACATAATTAGGACACCAATAATCTCATAATTCCAAGAAATAACTTGAGGAGGGTGAGAAAGGTCAGCTGTATTGTATTGATATACTGTTAATAAATCACCATCTAAACTGAGGTCAGATCTTGAGTGTTTTTGTAGCATTCTGAAGAAATAACAATTCATCATGGTTGCTGTAATTCTCTTACCAGGAAATTTATGGGTGTGTTTTGTGTGAGTCCTTGTGTGAGAACAGGAATTAAATGTAACCACAATATAAGTATTCTGATCGGAGATCATACAAGATATATCTTCCCAATTTGGTTCATCTAGATCAGGGTAGGCAACCTTGGCTCTTTTATGACTTGTGGACTTCAATACCCAGAATTCCTGAACCAGCCATGCTGACTCAGGAATTCTGGGAGCTGAAGTCCACAAGTCATAAAAGAGCCAAGGTTGTCTACCCCGATCTAAATATATAAGGGGTAGAGTCAGGCCCAAGAAACCAAGAGCAAGGATAGAGTTCAAAAGCACTGTGACTTTATTCCATGCTACCTATACACAAGAATCTGATCTACTAACAGTCAATGCAAAATGGCATCAGATAAGAGTCAATGGACTTCAAAGGGGGGGGGTCTAGACTTAGATCTCTTTTGGGGGTGTTGGGACTCCAGAATGATGATGTGTTTGACTCCATGCAAAGGCTCAGCTTGGTCATCTCCTATAGGTGGGATTGGTCACTCCATGCATATGCCTAGTATTTTTTTTAAATTCAATTGATTCAGTTGAAGTTCATTCACATTCTCCAGATGCTCAAAGTTATATTAATAACACTTCTATTTATTTGCCCCAATAAATATTCTGTGAGACATATTGGTAACCAAGTAATATTTAAGTAATATAAATAATTGCTTTGGTTTTTTAGCACCCTCTCCTAGTAGAACTTGGCTGGAACATGGTGGCTTATGTGATTAGGATGCTGGGCTGGAGGTTAGCAAGCCCATGTTCAAGACCCGAGTGCTGCATGGCAGGGTGAGCTCCTGTCATTACCTCCAGCTCCTTGACGAGGACATGAAAGGAACCCTCACAGGTGTCCCTCAGGCAATGGTGATGTCACTGGTTAATGCTTTCAACCCTGAAGCACCTTAAAAGATCCTCCAGTACAAACGGGATGGGAGTAGAACTTGGTGATCAGCAATCTTACTTGTTCTTTTGATTTTACCTTCCTAAACAAGAAAATTGTAGGGAGGTTTTTTGCCAAACCATACAGGGATATGGTTCGACCAAAGCTATGTAAATGTGACTTTACAGGAGATATTTAAGATATAGTGGAACAAATGTGTAAGAAACTAAACTGTTCTCCAAGTATGGACAACGATAGAGAAACTGTGGCAGAGAAACCCTCTCTATCACAGTTTTTTAATATTGTTATTTTATTCTTATTGATTTTAGTAATATTTAAAAACATTTAACTTTATGGTTTATTGCTTTAATGTTGTAAGCCTCCCAGAGTCACTTCAAAGCAAGATGGATGGCAAACAAATTATTTTTTTAAAAAACTGGAATTTTTAGGAGACATGGTTCTCCATGAGAATTGTCAGCTACTTCAAGGCAAGACTCAAGGAAAACCCCGTGTGGAAGATAATAGATATCCTGAGGTTTAAATTCCCACATGTAGAAAGGTTGCTTAAATCTCTTTAGAATTTCAGCCCCTCTGAATGAGGGATTATTCCTTTCCTGAGGTCTTTGTAGGGCTTTTAATGAAGAATATTCATACTCCCAGTTCCTCTGTTTCACTGAAGACCAGCAAATGTTGGCTAGAAAGGAATGTTGACTTCAGGCATGGCTACCTGATGATCATCACAAAATCCATTATATTTTCATCCATAAGGAGAATTTCAAATTGAGAAGAGGGAAACATATTGCAAACTATGAAGAAAATGAATGCAAGTTACTGCTATTAGAAATCAACAATCTGGCTGAGCTGAGTTATTTACAATGATGTCCAACTAATAATGTTGAATGATATTATGTATAAAGGTAAAAGGTCATGTGTGACTCTAAGGGGTGGTGCTCATCTCCATTTCTTAGCCAAGAGAGCCAGCGTTGTCTGAAAAGTCTTCTATGGTCATGTGGCCAGCATCTTTATACACTGAGGTGCACAGATCACCATTACTTTCCCACTGAAGTGGTATCTATTTATCTACTCACCTGTGCATGCTTTTGAACTGCTAGATGGGCAGGAGCTGAGGCAAGGACAGGAGCTCAACCCTGTCTCGCAACGCTCATGTCTCAAACCCAGGCTGACAGTTTTCCAGCTGACAAGCTCAGCATCTTTAACCACTGAGCCATTGGAATTAGATAAGAGTTACTGGAATCCAAAAGGTAACTTAATGAGACTAGGCTGGGAACGTAATGAAACTAGGCTGATTCCTTTCTTGACTCCACCCTCAGACTTTGCCTGTCCTTCTCCTACATCTCAGGGGGTTTGCTGTTCCAAAGGATGGGTGCCATGGCAGAAAGGCTCTCCTCCTGTGTCCCATCAGATGGAACTCCTTAACAGACAAGACCCCATAACATGCTGCTTCTGCAGGATCTGAGGGGAGAGTAGATGTAACTGGGGAGAGGCAGTCTCTCAAATAATCTGACCCAGTGCCATGTAGAGCTTGAAATGTCAAAATCAGCACCTTGAATAGCACCTGGAAGCAAACTACTTCTAGTTGTTTTGAGTTCTATTTATTAATAATCCCAGAGCTGATTCCACTACAATGTCTGTTGTTTTTTTTCTGGAATGTTCTCACTCCACATTTTAAATCAGTCTCCAAGTGATTCATTCAGAGGTGTTTAATGATACATCCAAAGACACTGAATTAAGACAATAGGTCCTTAGTGATGGAAATGCAAGTGGGATTTGGAGACAGGAACAACTTGGGAGTATAGACAATAACACTGTTTTAAAGGCAGTAGAAAAGAGAATAAGATTGGAATTAAACCAGAGAGCCCAGCTTCCTCCTCATTGAGACAATGGATGGATTTCATCCTTCTTCTACAACTACCATAAGGAATGTCTCTCAGACTCTTGGAGAGGTGACACACTGCAAGACTTTATCAAGCAGCCTAGAATAATCATCTCTTCATCTCCAGTTGGGTTCTGACTACAATTGGCATTAGATTGAAATCTCCATCTGAGTGGGATAGAAGGAAGAGGTTTAGAAGGTGTCAACAAACATCTCAACATGTGATAGAAGAGATTTGAAAATGAGTTGAGGTTGTAACTAATGTGGAACCATTTAGATGGGACTAATTCAAAGGTATTCCTCCAACATTGCATGATATACCTTTTTAATTTGGATAACCAAAGTGCTTAGCAAGCTTGAGATAAAATAATATCATCTATATATGCATTTATAAAAGGATTTGGAAATGGAAGCTTTCCTATCATAACCACAAAATGTTTGAGCAGCCATTCTGGGGAATATCCAAAGCTGATCTGATCAGCAAGGAACAAAGGGAATGATTTAGAGACTTGGAAGATAGGGGTTGATGGTCTGTTCTGATTGTCCCCTTCAAAGAACTCTCCTTATTGTAGAATTACAGAAGTGCAAAAGGCCATTGAGGCTACTAAGATCAACTTCTTGTTCAATGCAGGAACCCATATTAAAACATCTCTGGTTGATGTCATAAAGTTACCTTCTATTTGAATGCACCCACCATGAAGCAGAAGAAAGAACAAATGCATATAACATGCAACATTCCTGTTAGTTCCATTTTTTAAAACAGTTCTCTTCTTTTGGTTAATATCAGTTCAAGGATTCATGGCCCTTTTATTTCATATTTCATCTGCTGAAGGAAGATGTTCTCAGAACTTATGCTGTTCTGGGCCTTTTTCATCTCTGATCATGGATAGATATAATAATATTTTGTGAACTAAATAGATATTATCTGGAGGTATCAGGGACAATCTGTGTATCTTTTACTACTAAACTACATGCAAGTTGATGCTTGCAGGACATAGTAATATAAAATAAACTCTAACAAAATACATTAAACAAATGTTTATGTCAGACACGAACAATCAGACTTACATGTGTAAGGCTCAAGCTGACTACTTTATTGTTCTCTCCCTATTACACAGATATCTCCAGGACTGATAGCTTTCAAAAGGGAACTACTAGATACAACTCTAAGGCATTCCAGAAAGGTCAAAGCTAGCTGTCTTATGTTTATACAGCATGTGTAGGCTACTTTTGCACTTGGGCCCTCCTCCCAACAGGGAAGATTGCCCTCCAATAACTCAGTCACATTATCCGTGATAGGATCATCTGCTTAAAGATTTCATTATTGTTTTGCTTATTGTCTGCCCTCTTTCCATGTTTGGTTATACCCAGGATATGTTTTTGTTGCACAGATGGAGGGTAAGAATCAAACAACATTGAATGAGTTTGTCCTTGTTGGCTTTCCATACGCCAATAGTCTGAAGGAACCTTTATTTATCTTCTTCCTACTCATCTATTTAACGACACTCTTTGGCAATCTTCTGATCCTGTTGGTTGTGCTATCTAATCCCCAACTCCACAAGCCCATGTACTGGTTCCTCTGCCATTTGTCCTTTCTGGACATGACAGTTTCCACTGTGATTGTTCCCAAGGTCATCGTTGGATTTTTAGAAGGTGGGAGGATCATATCCTTTGGAGGTTGTGTGTGTCAACTCTTCTTCTTCCATTTTTTGGGTTGCACAGAATGCTTCCTTTATACACTGATGGCTTATGATCGATTTCTGGCTATTTGCAAACCACTCCACTATGGAAACCTCATGAACCATAGGACATGTCTCTTCCTGGCTATGGGCACCTGGATTGGAGGATGCCTTCACTCCGTGATGGAGACAGCCCTTATTTTTCGCTTGCCGTTTGGTCGGGAAAACAAGGTCAACTATATCTTCTGTGATATCCCCGCTGTGTTGAAGTTGGTCTCTATTGACACAACACTCAATGAGATGGTAACCATGGTGGATGTTGGGCTGGTGGCCACCACATGCTTCCTTCTGATTTTGACTTCCTACATGTACATTGTCTCCACAATTCTGAAGATCCGCAGTGTCCAAGGTCGTAAACGGGCTTTCTCTACCTGTACTGCTCACATAACCATAGTGTTGACCTACTATGTGCCTCTTGTCTTCATCTACTTGAGACCAGGATCTCAGGATCCACTAGATGGAGTGGTGGCTGTCTTCTACACCTCACTGACTCCACTTTTGAATCCCATTATCTATACATTGAGAAACCAGGACATAAAACGTGCCCTTGTCAACTTGTCTAGGAGATCATCCTAAATTGGTTCCATGAATATTCCTGTAATCTGATAGAATGAATCTCCTTCTGGTTGTTGCCATACAATGCTGATCAAAGGACTTTGATTCCATACAATGAAGCCTTTATAGTAATTAACTTATAGCCACAGGCACCATGTAAGTCATCTTGAGATTGTTTAGCTATGGAGGGTATACATTCAAATTCAAATAAATAAAAAGAGATCTAGATGGTGCCAGAGCATGATTATTGACAATC